TTTCCTCATATTGTTAGGAGCGGCGATAGCCTAATGGATAAGGCGTTTGGATTTGTGTAGCGGTGATAGCTCAGTAAGTCGGGTCACCTGTTCACTGCACTCGAAGCGAAAAGTTTTCAATAAAAGAGAAAAAAAAAAAAAAAGGCGTTTGGATTAAAATCTTAAGGTCATGGGATCGCGCCCCGACTGAGGCTTTTTTTTTTTTTTTTTTTTTTGAATTTTCAATTTCGTTCTTTTTCATTATTTTTACCAAATCAAGATATGTGCGAACTCTGCATTTATAATATTGATAACAAATCACTTTAAAAATAATTTTTCACCCATATAAACAATATTATCGACTGCGTAATGTGACTTAATGGTGGCTTAATGGAGTTTGGACATTAAGCACCTGTAAGTCTAGCTTAATGGTAGCTTAATGGTGACTTAATGGTGGTCTAAAAGTTACCATTAAGGACCTGTAAACCACCATTAAGCTACATTTAAGCACCCATTAAGGACTTTGAGTTGGCTTAATGGTAACTTAATGGTGGAGTAAATGTTACTTAAAGGTGCTTAATGGTGACTTAATGGTGACTTAAAGACAACCATTAAACCACCATTAAGGACCTATAAGCCACCATTAAACCGGACTTAAAGGGTGTGTTTCATCTTGTGAAATATATATTTTCAATGCTTAACATTCAAAAAGATACATTTAGACTAGGGATGTCAACGAATATTCGAGTACTCGACTATCGTTCGATCATACCGACTATCAACTAAAATTTTTTAGTCGGTTAAAAATGTGTTTCATCAAAGTAATATTGAATTCAAGGCAATAAACTTGTATTTCCCCATTTCATTTATTTACAGATCAATATTTTGATATGTAAAATTAAGGGTATGGTATAACTGTTCAAAGTATGTACGTCGATGTATCTTCGGCAAACATGTCTTCAAAATCTACAGTTTTGGTATAGCTTAAAAAAGGTAAACAGTGTTTTCAAGGTTATGTGAATTTGAATTTTTATTCTGCAGCGCAGTGTAACATCAAACATGATGTATCATATGCCGAATCAGTCAAACATATACACAGTCTTCAGGTGAAATTTTCCTAAAGTACGTTCTCCGCAAAAATTACAAAAAAAAGCAGAGTGGGAAAGAAAAATCACAAACATGATTATTAATGAATGTCTACCTCTTACTGTTTTAAAGGCAGAGGGCAGTTGTTTAGTTTTGTAGATTGAAACTAAGATTTGACGTGATACAACTATTCAGAAAGAATTCTAATTAAACAGCTATTGCAAAATTGTAAATACATGTCAACTGGGGTCAGTTATGAGAGTAATTAAACCGTGTTTTCTTTTTCTGATAATGATTTTATTCAATCATTGATTGTTTGCACAAAATTTCATAATTAAAATATATCCCAAGCTCTCGCTCTCTGTTTGTTTTCATAAGAGACACTTCTTAATTGTTTACCCGTCAAAGATCACTGACGGACACGTAGAAATTGGCTTCAATTATGGGGTACATGTACTACCGTTATGTAAAGAAAGGACAAATACGAGCGTTTAATATTCTGCATTTAGATAAAATGGGCAGCTAATATTTTAATTTTGAAATTAAATACACTGGGTACATGTATACATATTGATGTACAGTTTTTATTGTACTACATACATGTTAACAATTCAGAAATTCGTTGTATAATGGTGATGACATAGATTAAATATAATTGTAAACTAGTCAGTAAGAGACAAACAATGAAAATGATATGAAAAATTATTTTAAAATTAAACGAATAATCGACTATCGTTCGACTAAAGCATCCGACTGTTCCACTTAGCTGTCCGAGTAAAATTGACATCCCTAATTTAGACACAACCTGTTACATGTATTTATTTATGGTGTTTATTCCAAAATATGAAGATCATATCCTATATAAAATAAGTGCTTGTGAGTAACAGTTTTAATATTTTTTAGCACAAAATTAGTTACTATTTCTTATGGGAGGAGGAAATATTAATCTCATGAAAGTTGAACCTCCTACGTATACTAATCTGTAATTTTTTAAATTTAACATTAATTACCTGATGATGGTGTCCCTGCTGGTAGTATCTGACATCTGTGCTGAGACATCAACCCCATGTCGTTGAAGTAAATGCTGCACTTGTTGCACTGGGTTACCGTGCGTTTTTTCATTTGACTTTCAGCATTTATTTCATCTGCCGTTTGTTTCGTCACAAGGATGGATTTCCTCCGCATAGATGAGAAATAATATCATCTTTTAAACTTATAATATACATCAGTATCAAAGTATATACTGCTGCATGTACATTGCAAATTATAAAACTCAATTGCAAAAGATATTAATATTTGGCAGAATTAAAAAAGGGGGAGGTGTTCTGAAAGGTAAACCTTCGTTCAGTTACCATTTGGACATGCTTTCATAAACAAGAGGAGATACAAAAAAAAGAACGCAATGTGAACGACCCCTTTCCCTACTATAACAGTTTTTACTTGTCTTTTTAAATGCACTTTGTCCCTCGTACATGTCCTTTTTATCTCACCTGAGCCGAAGGCTCAAGTGAACTTTTCTGATCACATTTTGTCCGGCGTCCGTCTGTCTGTCTGTCTGTAAACTTTTCACATTTTCGACTTCTTCTCAAGTACCGCTGGGCCAATTTTAACCAAACTTGCCACAAAGCATCCTTGGGTGAAGGGGACTCAAGTTCAAATGAAGGGGAGATAATTGGGAATTAATGAAAATTTGGTGGTATGTTTTAAAAGTCTTCTTCTCAGGAACCACTGTTCCATGAAAGATGAAACTTATGGGGAAAGTGTAGATTCAAGTTTGTTCAAATCATGACCCCCGGGGGTAGGGCGAGGCCACAATGGCCGACCAAAATTTCAAATAGGAATATATAGGAAAATTCTTAAAAAATATTCTTCTCAAGAATAACAAAGCCATTATTGATCATATTTATACGGAAGCATCCTCAGGTAGTTTAGATTCAAATTTGTTCAAATCATGACCCTCGGGGGTAGGGCGAAGCCACAGTGGTCAATCAAAGTTTTACATAGACATATACGAGGGCTGTTCGGATATTATTGAGACAATTACATTTACTCCATAAAGGACGGAGATAATTTCATGAAAATTCATCAACATTTTTTAAAGAACGAATTGAACAATTATGCAAAATTTCTAATTCCTATGATAATAAGAAAAGTTTCGGTGAAATGATAAACATGCATAAGTCTATCGACCCGGAGCAGCATCGCTACATCATTTTACGTCACGTTAGCCGGAGATGGTTTCGCAAGTAAGACGATCGCGAAGCATTTAATACTTTTTCCTTCTTTGTTATTATATATAACTTTACAAAAATCAAACAGTCTCTTTTCTCAGCCTATTCTTTAAAAATGTATGGCGTTGCTACCCCGGTGTAAAATTTTCATTTGTGGGAAAGGATGACTTAGAATCATGCAGTGCCGATTTATGCAATTCGGGTCAACGATATAAAAACCGTAACGATATTAATATCGTATATAATAATTGATGGTTGTCCGGTGCTTTTGATTTCACTTTGGTTGAATTAATTGTAAAAAAAAAATGTATATCAATGGGAAAAAAACCCAACACATTATTTTTTCCCCCGTTGTTATGGTTTTATCAGGTCGTCCTGTCTGGAAAAGAGTTCTACATTGCGATACACACAATTTCAGGTATGTTGGCTGCTCCGCCCTTGACGTCAAAATCCATTTTTTCGTTCTTTGCAGATTTCTCTTCCGCGCTTAATTTTTTAATTATCTCCGTATTTGAGATCAAAATTCTAACAAAGTTGCACAACATGAATTTGAAATAAAGCTGAAAAATTATACACGTAAACTGAATTATTTTCGCTCTTATTATGGGTCCAAGAAGAGTTAGAAAGTTGTTGTTACATATTTTCAATATCTGATTTCGTGACTGCTCCGGATACCCCAACTATTGACGCATTTATGTAGCATTGTACAGAAAATATTCAAAATTTGTAGAATATTTTTTGCTTTTATTAATTCTTAGTGTATGTCAAACGTATATGCAAAATTTCACCGAAAGACGTTCATTAAAAAGCAAAGTACACACAATGTCTCAATAATTTTCGAACAACCCTCGTATTCGAAACTTCTTTAAAAATCATCTTCTCAAGAATAGCAAAGCCTTGATTGCTCTTGGGACTACTTTTGGATTTAAACTTTTCAATAATAAACCAGTTTCTACTTTTCCTAGCCACAGTGCTCAGGTGAGCGAAGTGGCCCATGGGCCTCTTGTTTAGATTTGTAACCCCACCCCACTTTCCCTTAAAAAATCTAAGATTTTCTTGACCCATTTTGGGCCTATATGATGGCTTATATGCGAATAAGGTGCGCAATAAATATCCCTACGAATTTAAGTTTTTAAGGACGCTCTAAACACTGCACTACCTAAAGAGTCTTCCGGTAGCTTCGGTATTTTTTGGAACTTGGAGTGATCCGCCCTTCGTATTTATTCGGGAAAAAAATTCCGTTAATATTCTAAAAATATAAAATGAATTACTCCCCTTTCCGCTCTTTAGGATAAAAAGGTAGGAAAAGAGTGACGAAGATGACAGACAGCATGTCCACTAATTTGACATGTTTGAGAAAACGGTATAAAAGCGGAAGATTTCGCCCCAAAATAAAGTCTGTTCCAATTCCTACATCTGAAGCAATTGAAAGAAAAACAGAGGTCTTCAGGTAACTGCACGATAGTCATTCTATCTATTCTAAAACGGCTTTCGGAAACTTGAAAAAAAAAAACATCATGTCCTTAGAAGTAATAGTATATTTTGTTTTTATTATATTTATCGAAATTTTGTTAAGGATGGATCATGATTATTCAAGACCCCCAAATCAGTGTAAAAATATTATGAGTACCAGCATTGACGAGGGTTGGTCGGAATATGATGAAGAAGATTACAGAGGCGACGATAGAAACGACGATCCGCCCGACGAAACTAATAAGGAAGACACTTTGCACCCAGATGTTTCAAAGAATCTACTTGACTGGCATGAGGTATTTCTAAATGTAAACCTTATATGAGGCATGAGTCCTTTAGACAATGACTGTGTTACTACTCTTTTGCAGGGCAAATTAATCAAGTTAATAATGTATGGAAAAGTTTTTGTTGATAGATATTAAATTATGTATATTTAACAATTGCTTCTACGTCATATTTCACCAAAAAATTTTCCTGCAAAATAATAGTACATTACAGTTATTTTGAAAGGGTCTCTGTTATTTTATAGGTTTGTAAAACAAGTGAAATGTTTGACAATATTATAAAACAACTTCAAAAATAATAGTTTTCTTTTTTCAAGGCTTTCTGCAAGCTACACATTTTACATAGAATGTGCACAAAACATGTAGAATGCAAAAATGAACTTTAGTTTTCATCAATTCCTTTTTCTGTTTTCATTGTCTTATAATGGTATTTTACATATTGATATTTTTTTTATATCAATTTTACTTTCAAACAAATACATGTATGATCATACAAAGGGTCGTCGAGTGGTTGAACTTGGTGTGCTAGCAGCCCAGCTACAGAAAGGATGCAAGAAATGTGGGACTGTATTACATCTATGTGATTGTTTTCAAGAGAGGCATTATGGCCTTGGAAGTATTTTGTACATAAAGGTAAATGTCAAATTCATCATCATCAATATAAACACTTATAATAAATGAACTTAAGTTTGTAAGTAATCGCCTCGATTCATATGAAATATTTCATTAATTTTGTAGTGTACTATATGCAGTTTTATTTCAAACATCCCCACTGGAAAGCGGCATGAAAAAAAACATTTGGGATGTGAACACTAAGCTTGGTGCAGGTAATTTCAGAAAACTTTGCAATATGATTTAATAATGCAGCATATTTGACAGTGAATAATATTTTATTTTCAATTCATTCTGTGTCTTGTAGGTATTACCAGCAGTGGAATAGGTTTCTCTAATTTACAGATGTTATTTGCTTCATTGAATATCCCTGGTGTAGCGGCTGGAACAGTCAAGAAAAGAGACAGAGAAGCAGGAAAGGCTATTGAATCTGTTGCCAAAAAAAGTTGCAATGAGGCTCTTGATGAAGAAATAAAACTGAATGATGGGTAAATTTTATAAAATTAAATTTTATGAAAAAAATATACCAAATGTCATGATCTCAACACCCTTTTGTCTTTCTTATTTCTCCTATGACAGTGTAGTTTTTTTATTATATATTTTTAGGAAAGTTGAAATAAGAGTTGCGGCTGATGCTGGATGGCAAACAAGATCTAGTGGAAGGAAATATAACAGCTATTCAGGTATGCATTCAAGAAGAAACTTTGAAAAAAAATATTTCTTTTTGAAAATAAAACTTATTTATGGGGTGATTATGAATATATCTCTTTTTATTTTTTTAACCACAGGTCACAGTTCACTAATAGGTGATAAATCTGGGAAAATAGTGCGGTATGATTATAGATGCAGAAAATGCAGACTTTGTGAAAATGCAAAAAGAAAAGGCATTCAGCCCATTGACCATGACTGCAGGTAAAAAGTTGATAAGTATCAAATGTATAATATATAAAAATAAATATGTAAAGTAAAGAAAAAATCAATAGTGATTGAAGGTCACTGCAAAATATTTACATCCACTGAATATTTTCTCCTTTATTTCTGAAGAAAACCCATTGCGTTCATCACTGCATAAACTACAATAGGCATGTCGCTGGTACAGATTTCTTAATCAGTGGCTGTTCCATCAATGAAACGTATAAAGACGTTCGCATCATTAATACAATAATTAATCTTTTTAATCCTACTTTAATTGATTATTAAAACAGATATAAATATAAAAAATAAATGTCTTTCTCTGTTTGTTATTACTGGAATGAACAGTCGCAGCTATTGCAGAAAAAATTTACATAACCCGCGTAAGCGGGTTATGTATTTTTTCTGCAACAGCTGCTTCCGTTCATTCCAGTAATAACAAACAAAGAAAGTATTTTATTGTTTAATTAATACAGTGTATAATATTTATATTTTTCACATGCTTATTTTTATATTTTAATTTCCAGGAAGAATTGGGATGGCTCAGCCAAAGCTATGGAGCCTGACATGATTGTGGGGATGTTGAAAGACTTGGAAAAAGATCATATCCATCCACATGAATTAGTAATGGATGATGACAGTACGACAATTTCACATGCAAGGAAAGAGTGTGAGCAAAGTATTACAAATTCAGTGACAGAAATCACCTGAAAAAAACATTTTCAAACAAACTGTATGATTTGCAAAGGTTCAAAAAGTATCAACAACTTAGAGGAAAAACTATGACACATCTAAAGAAATGCTTTTCTTATGTTCTTGCCCAGAACCAGAAAAAACCTGAAGAGTTGAAAAAATCCTTATTGTGTATTATTCCTCATATGTATGGAGACCATCTGGCATGTCCTTCATGGTGTAAATATAAGCGGAATCCAGCAAGTTACCTTCCACGGAATCTTCCATACAGCAGGTATCTAACATGTCCAGAGTTGAAAAAGGACTTGGAAGCCATTATTCAGACGTATGCACAACAAGCTGATAAACTATCTGATCTTGGATCGACACAAGCATGCGAAAGTTTTAATCACATCGTTGCATCAAAAAATCCAAAGAGCCTCTTTCTGTCAGGATCAGAAAGTACAAGTTTCAGAATCGCTGCAGCTGTTGCACAGAAAAACATTGGAAAGTCTTAAATACAAGAAGTAAGTATATTTGAATAATCGAAAAAATTATGCAATATAAAATAACCATATACATGTATTCTCATTTCATGTAAATGAATAATGATTATGTTTACATGTATATTTACAGGTCAATGATGAACTGAATATGTCTCCTGGAGCCTATACAGAAAAGGCGGTTGAAAAGATGGACAGAAAAAGAAAGTTACAGAAGATAAGACAGAGTAGTGCAGAGTACAAGAAAAGGAGATGCCAAATTAGGAAATCCTCAAGTCAAGATCAGGGTTGTAAAGAAGTGCGTGAAGGAAAAACATATGAAACGTCCGTTGGACTAGAGAAAATGGATGAGGAGCAGGACATCAATTCCATTCCAAGTGCCACTGTTGAACCAGAGAGAATACCACTAAGAAATACTGATAGCACATTTGTTTACTTTGACCTAGAAACAACAGGTTTAGGTAAAGTTTTATATACAGATATATATACACATGTATTTCCATGAGACATTCATATATATATATATATATCCATTTTTTTTTCTAGAGATACATTGTCTCAGATTTGTCTTATAGGTTCATCAGCAGAAATATTGGAAATAGGAGCTGCAAGAGGACAGGATATATTTCAAAAATACATAAAACCCAATGGTACAATATCTGCAAATGCAACTTGTGTGACTGGTCTCCATATGAAAAACCATGAACTTTACTACAGGGATCAAAAACTTGCAACAACAGACTTGAAATCAGCACTCCAAAAGTTTTCAGAGTGGCTATCGGACTCGAATTCTAACATTCTTGTGAGCCACAATGGATTACGGTTTGACTTTCCATTATTTATTCAAAACATTATGTCACAAAATATTGTGATGAATACATGTATTGTCGGCTTTATCGACACTTTGGAGGTTTTTAAAAATTCTGATTTAAAGACACAAACTGGCAGTTTTTCTCAGGAGTCTCTTATGAGAGATGCAGGAATCCAGTCAACAGGGGTTTCTCATTGTGCTCTAACTGATGCTATGGACCTACAAAATTTAGTGAACTTTCATAACATTCCTTTCAACACTCTGTTGAGTCAAAGTGTCATGTACGATTATGTTTTACAGCATCTAAAGTTTTCTTCAGTAAAGAATGACAATTTGAAATCTCTTGACGTCTTAGTCCATGGAAAAGTGATTACAGAATTTATGGCAAATAAAATTGCAAAATCTGGTTTGAATATGAATTATATTAAACTAGCACACACAAGAAATGGTGAAGATGGAGTAAAAAACTTGTTTCAAGAAATTGTAAATGGTAAAGCAAGAGTTACAAAGTGTAAGAAAATAATCAACTCGGTGTCCAATTATTTGTCAAGTCAGTTGTAAAGAGTTACTTCCCTTTGTTTTTATAATTGTAAAGTTGTGTTATTTTATTTTTTATCTCTCTTATAAACCTGGCTCCACCATGTAAGATATGAATTTTTGTACACCAAATGGCAAAACCTTTATTTAAATTTGTAGAAAAATTCAGAAATTCCATATATACAAAAAATATCTGTGATTATCCTTACATTTTTTGTAATCTTTTGTATAAAATGTCAAAATATTTCTGAACTGTTGGGGTCATTCTATGTATTTTATTTTTTTTGTATGTTGGTTTATGTAACAATGATGTAGGACTTCGAGAAATTTTGGAGAAAATTATTTATGTAAAAAATAAACATTTTTTCACTTTCCTACATATTCCCTTATTTCTATCATTTTTATTTCATTAAAAAAGGTGGCATCCTTGTATGAAAATATTTTTAAAAAATCATTAATGAACTCAGTTATAAAATATATTTCTATAAAGTCCTAAATTATCCTGATTGTCAGTGTTTAGAGCTCCCTTAAGTAAGCATTTTGAGTAAAAATGTATGCACAGTAACAAAACTCACTTATGTCCATTGTGTATCCATGCATTTTAACATCATTTAAGCTGGAAAAGTACAAATTGCAGTCTGCACATTGGAGAATCACGTTTTTATCCGCAATTTGTGTTACGTAATAATTTCCGCTGCTGCACCTCTTTAGAAAGGACAGAGAGAATCCGTCCGGAATCGTTCCACTGCAATTCTTCTGGACTTTCAGAAGCGTAAAAAGAATGCACCCCTGCATAGCTGATTAAGTATAGCACTGCATTTCTGACTTCCTGAAACGTAAAAGCATTTGAGACTTTTCTTCCCATGATAACAAGGACACGAGGAGTAATGCCTTGAGATTGTTGATGTTTTGAGGAGTGTCTAACGGGTGTCCCGATAGGGCCATTGCAAAAGTGTATTAGCGCGTTAGAAACAACACGCAAGCGCGATAATGACAACGCGCTAGTGCATTGTCATTAATGCGCCTGCGTGTTGATTCTAACGCACTAACACACTTTTGCAATGGCCCTATCGGGACACCATATTTAACATCATAATTATATAAACTCAGATGCCTTTCTACTTTTTTTGTTCCCGAAACGTGTATGTATACTTTTTTTCTCTTTCGAGGGTTTGATATTTTTTGATAACTGATATAAACTGGTCATAATCATAGTTTAATTCTCAGCCTTCTCCAAATCCCGAATGCTGTATATTTGATCAGTAAGTTGTTCAATGTAAAATTGTCAAGGCAGTTTTTAGAACAGGCAGCTCTTGCAATACAAAAATTCTCACTACAATCATTATCTTTTTCACACGTGGTATCAAATGTAAACAAAGATGGCGACGTTTGAGGATTGTTTACAATTTTTAAGGAAAAAATTGGAATCCACATATTGAAAGAGAAGCTCTCAGAAGATCCTCAGGTTACCTATAAGGCCCATGTGCTCCCTGTTTTTCATAGTACCGGCACCAATTTCTCATCAAAATGTAAAGATTACACCAAAAAAGGACAAAGACCATCTCCTTGCTCATCAATACCCAAAGGAACTTGGGTTGCACTTCAACACCCGAAAATCCATTTTGTAGCACAGCAACACTACAGGGAACCTCAAGTAGCCCCTCAACACAAACACACCCTGCTTACACAAGCTATTGCTGCTTTTTAGACAGTTTGTTGATATCTGATAAGAAAAAAGAAGTGTTTAATTATTTTCGATTTATGGAATTTTTTGTAATAAATATCTTGTATTGATCAGAATAAAGATCTTATTAGTTCTCCTGAATAGTGGTTTATTTGATTGAAAGAAATCAGAACCTTAATCTAAAAGTGAAACTAGAATAAGTTGAGATATTTTTTTTACACAGATGAGAACAATGATTCTAAAGCTTTTACTTATTTTCACAGGGACATGGAAAGTCAAATAAGAAGAGCAGCTTATATCCTTTTTATAATAATTTTTAGACTTTCCTGGCTCCAATGTCACTTTGTACCCCTTCTTTCAAAAAAGAAAATCCTCTTCTCTATGTTTGCTTTGAATTTATATTACTTTAAATATATTCCATTTAGGGAGAAGGGAAATTGGAGCGTTTGGCGAGCGAGTTTGAAAACCTGAAGAAAGATGTTAAAATTCAGAAAAAAGAGTGAAGGAACGCAGCTAATGAAACAAATTCAGATCAATTGAGTGGATCAGACTTCAGAAAAATTCAACTGTAAAGTGACAGAAAAGGTATAATTGATGCCCACAAGCTCTAACTCAATTTTCTGCTGAAGCAGTTGTTTTCCCTTTAAGAATTAAAAGTTTATCAATTTCTGGAAGGAAAATATTCAAGTGTGGGGAAGGAGGACCTAGGCCTCGAAAGATTTGAGAGAAAAGATACAAAATACCCAGAAGGTGGAACGTAAAAAAAAAAACCAAGAGGCTCATTGGCTACATCGCTCACCTGAGCACTGTGGCAAGGAAAAAACAAGGGCGTGGTCACAATTCGATTTACAAAGGGGGGAAATCTGTTAAAGAACAGCATGGCCAAAGTTTCTCAGGTGAGCGATGTGGCCCATTGGCCTCTTTTTCAAATCATGACCGGGGGTAGGGGGTTGTTGGTTGGGGCGGGGCCACAATAAACGATCGAAGTTTTTTTACAGGAATCTATAGGAAAGATCTTCTTCTATAGAATGGAAAGGCCTTATACTGATATGGAAGCATCATTAGGTTGTGTAGATTTTCATTTGTTTAAATCGTGATTCCAGGGGCAGGGAGGGGCGACGGGGCGGCAATAGGAATGCAATTTTTACAAAGGAATATATAGGGAAAATCTTTTCAAGAACAGTTTAGACACTGTTATTAATAAGGAAGTATTCTCAGTTAGTTTAAAATTCAAGCCCTACTTTTCAATACTTTAATGATTTGTGCCTTTTTCTAGCCAATATGCTAAGGTGAGCGATGTGGTCCATGGTCCTCTTGTTTCCCTGTAAGATTGAACTTTCATTTTGGCCCCAACCTATCCCTGGGGGTCATGATTTGACGGAAATTGAATCTACTTTACCTGAGGTTACTTACTAATAAATATGACCAATCATGGGTTTGTTGTTCTTGAGAAGATTTTGAAAGATTTTTTTCTATATATTCATATGTATGAATTTAATCGTCCATTGGGCCCCACCTACCTCCGGGGGTCGTGATTTGAACAAACTTCAACCTACAATACCTGAGGATGCTTCCACATAATATGACCAATCGTGGCTTTGTTGTTCTTGCAAAGATTTTTAAACATTTTTCCTATATATTCTTAAGTAAACCTTTGATCGTCCATTGTGGCCCCACCCTACCCAAAGGGGTCATGATTTGAACAAACTTGAAATTACACTACCTGAGGGTGCTTCCACATTTGTTTCGTCTTTCCTGGACCTGTTGTTCTTTAAAAGAAGACTTTTAAAATGGCCTTACTTTTCCACTAATTCCTAATTATTTTCCCCGTGAAAAAGGGTATGGCCCTTCTTTTGGACAAACTTGAATTCCCTTCACCCAAAGTTACTTTGTGGTAAGTTTGGCTGAAATTGGCCCAGTGTTTCTGAAGAAGTCGAAAATGTGAAAAGTTTACCGACAGACAGACGGACGCCGGACAAAATGTGATCAGAAAAGCTCACTTGAGCCTTCGGCGTAGGTGAGCTAAAACTGTTCATGAGAACATCTTCCCAAGTCAAGAGTTTCTGATCCGCTCCGATCCACATAAACCCTTGACCGAATAGGCTAAGTTTGACGGGGTTTACTGTCACGCCATCTAGTGAGAACTATACTGACCTCTGCTAATGAACATTTTCGGAATCGCGTACACCTGACACCGTACTACGGACTATCGAACAAAAGACCGCTTTCAGGGAACGTATAGAAATACGTTTTCAGTCTTTCTTAACTTTACTGTACATACTTTCATTTTTCTGGGATTTTTTTTTCATGCATGTGACACAATTTAAACATGGAAACAGATTTAAAAGAATTATTATAATTATAAGCTTAATTTGTGTTTATTGAGTAAATAAAATGTATATCTATATGTATATCAGATTATATGCACAGACGTGTAGGTATTGTACAAGCATCTGCAATATAGTGATGTGTATAAATTAAAGGATTGTGTTGTCTACAGACAAGTCCTTTAACAATGTCTATAACAATGGGTAACTTCCTCCTCGGATGACGCCATATCCCACTCAGAATTTTATTTTTCTTTAATTTTCCGATCGAGCGTTCGATGAGGGATCTATACATCGACACAAGTCTATTAAATTTCCGTCTTTTTCTTTGCTCTTGAGGATTCCTGTTAATTATTTGTTGTTGGGAATATGGAGTGATGATTGGATACCCATTAGGATATATTTTGTCCCCTAAAATAAAACAATCTACTGGGAAAGGGAGCTCTGCCCCGATTTTATTTGACATTAAAGAATATTGTTGAGCATCATTTTGATGACCAAGGAAGCCGCTTTCTATGTGACGTATCAATCCGGAGTTGTCAATTATGACCTGTGCATGTAATGCATGATATTTCCTGTGACCAGAATAATACAATCGTTGTGGCTCAATTCTTGGGCAATATATCTTTACTGAGGTACCTCGACTGCACCGATTGCGCATGGTAATTTTGGCCACACATGCATATATTCCGCCATTCATCAATAGAAGGCCAGGTGATGAAGGATTTTGCAACAAGATGGAATACGTGCATTAACTGACTGATTTCCTCATGAATTTTTGTAATGCTTACATCAAAAAGTTGAGACAAGAAATAGTACGATGGGTAACATCTCAACTATATCATAAATAATATTGTACGGTTTCTTGGTGATAAACTATGTCCATTCATGTTTGCACCTAACACGTTAGTAATTTTTTGCATGAGGTCTAAAAATGTTTCAATACTTTCTCCTGTTATTTAAAAAAAAAACCGTAAGGGTGTTCTGAGAAAATGCCAAAAACATTTCTTCCTTGCCATACACCTATTTCTCCATTACATAACCGATGTCGAGCATCTACCAATGGATCCGGTGGGGGCTTTGTGATCAACATCAGTATCGATATTAATTCTTTTATAAACAGAATATCAGGGGGACTTGAGGCAAAAGCTGGGATCGCTGTCGCCACAATATCTAAATCCATGTTTTCCTGCAATAATGAATATTATATAGTATTAATAAATATATATATTTAACGAAAACTAAGGAAAAAAGCAGGAAAACCCTTCTTAGTTTTTTGTTCTACATTGATTTAAGACCAAAGAACTCAATATAGGAGTCGTATTTTATTTATCTTGATTATACATTTTCCCTAAATCATTTAACGTAAGATACATGCATAAATATCAATTATAAAATAATAAACTGACAAGCTAACAATTTATTTTCTACGACCCCCCCCCCCCCAAAAAAAAAACACAAACACACTCACCCTCACACACAGCCCCCCCCCCCCCCCCCCCCCCCCGTAATATTGTTGAACTTATAAAAAGATGTGAAGACACTTAACTCTGTTTTCTATTGATAGTCTTTTAAGAATATTTTAATTTCAACATTTTTAACATCAATTAATTTCTTTTATACAATTAAGTGTGCTTGTTCTACGGTGGTATATTTAGGACACGCAATTATTTTTTTTTTAATACCAGAAAAAAATTATCTTGTGAAAACGAGATAATTATCTTGTGAAAACGAGATATTATCTTGTGAAAACGACTTATTATCTTGTGAAAACGAGATATTATCTTGTGAAAACGACATAATTATCTTGTGAAAACGAGATATTATCTTGTTAAAACGAGATTTTATCTTGTGAAAACGAGATATTATCTTGTGAAAACGACATAATTATCTTGTGAAAACGACATAATTATCTTGTAAAAACGAGATATTATCTTGTGAAAACGACTTATTATCTTGTGAAAACGACTTATTATCTTGTGAAAACGAGATATTATCTTGTGAAAACTAGAGAATATCTTTTGAAAACGAGATATTATCTTGTGAAAACGACATATTATCTTGTGAAAACGAGATATTATCTTGTGAAAACGACTTATTATATTATGTCGTTTTCACAAACGCATTTAAATGGTTTAATTTCTTGGATCTTTGTGTGGGGATGGGGTTCCTAACCATATTGTATGAAAATATGAGTGAAATTGTGTGTCTTTCATGGATTTTATATCATTGCAGTGTATGTGTTGTTTAATTTAATAGTCAGAAATTACGGAGTTTCCTTACGTGATAGTAATGTACATGTATTAAACGTTACACCCCCCCAACACACTAATTACGTTTTATTTTGTTATTTTAATGGTTCTACAGATTCTTCTATACACTTCACCACTCCTTCTTTAAAACAAACATAGATCCGCACTTTCTCTTTTTCCACCTTGGACATGCGCCTTTTTGTTTTGTCTTGTTTATTGTGCTATTTTTTTTCATTGCGCTCACTTTGAACCGAGAGCACGGACTTTGTAAAAAAAAAAATGGATGAGCTACCAGATATTCCAGATGGTAAGTTTTGTTTAACTTTGTTTTTTCTTACGGTTTAAACTCAAAGAAGTATGATTCTCTATACATTATGCAATTCTTTATGTAATTATACCTGCATTTTTAATAAATACATGTGTGCATATATATTTTTAGGGGGGGGTATTTATTTATTTATTTATATATGTGTGTGTGTTTTGTTTCTTGCGTTTTAAAAGAAAATCAACTCTTTAAACTTGTGCAAAGTATGTAAACATTGGTTAATATTATTTACACATACTAGTACTACAGAAAAATACTCACACTGACGTGGCTTTCGCATTTCGATGTGATATCGGGAATCAAAAGGCCCGTAACTCTAAGGTCTTATGCATTAAACATTTCGGGGGTGGGGTTAAAATCACTTATCATATATCAACTTCTGTACCAAATTTCCTCAATTATGTTAAAAAAAAAATAATAAAATTGAATGGAAATTAATTCAAGATATTTATAGTACACTAACACGCGCACAGAAATAAAACGCTTTGATAAAAACGAGATTCCTTGATTAGTTTTGGATTAATACGAATCGTTTTCTAAAATGCTTCTTTTTATTCATTTTAGTCCAACTGGTTAAATAAAGGAGGGTGCATTTTTTAATACGTGTTTTTTCTGTAAATAAATATCTAGTGATCTTAGTGTAACCCCCCTCCTACCCCACACACATGCATACGCACCATATTTAAGTGATATTCACTGTCTACCTTAATATACTTTAAAAAATTATAAAAGTTTTTCATTTTTTTACTGATATTTTTGTATTACAGAATATTGTGAACATCAAGCTTTTGTCAAAAGGAAACGTGTTATAAAGTTCTGCAACCAGGAGATCATACTAATGCTGAGGAGCTACCAGGTACATCCGTGTGCCTGGATTCAAATTCGTAAATCTATGCTTGAAAATATCCACCAACTCCCATCTGAAATCAAAATATGTACAAATCATCATCAGTAAAACAAATTAAAGACAGGCTGTCTGCAAAACTTTCAAAACTGCTTTCTATGTCAGATGGCGACATAGAAAATATTACAATAAGGTGAGACACTTGCATATACCAGTACCTTATAGTTAATTAAAATATAAAACTGAGAAACATTATTCAATAAAAACGCGTGAATACTGAGTAATAAAAAAAAACAATGAAATAAATAAAAGGCAACAGAATAATATTAAGATTTTTTTCAGGAATGAGTTAAAAAAGGTTAGAAGTATCGAAATGAAGCTAGCACGACCTACATGCTATCAAGGGAAACAGGCGGGATCACTGGATCCGAGATCACAAATTACAGGAGAGCTGTCGTCCGACGAAGATGAGACACTGTCTGCGGGTCCATCAAAGTATGTACCTTGTACTTCTAAATCAACCAGTGCGAATGCCCAATTTGCGTCTGCACCTGTCCCCTCTAGTCCTGGTCCTTCAGCATCTTTCCGATCTTTGCCTGTGTCTTCTGTTGGTTCTTCAACTCGACCATCTACTCCAATGTCTCGCCCTGCATCTCTTCCATCTAGCTCTTCCTCCAACCATCCAACATCCAATTCTTCAACAAAGACCAAGACCAAAGCTACCAAAAGGTCACTTCTTAGTGTAATGCGTGAAAATCAGGAAGCTTACAATAAGTGCATTACCACAAAAATCCCAAAACTTCTCAAGGCCCTTGGAGTTAACTCAGATGAGACAGAATCTGATTGATTAAAATAAAATATATTTAACCTTTATCTGGGTCATTACATGAGAATAAAAGTAAAAGAGCTTTGTTCGCCTTAACTTGATTAAACCTCACAAGTGTCTCTCATTTAAATAATTACGATTTTCAATTATGAATGAGTTAAATAACTTATTGGTTACATACTCATTATCAATTGAAAATAGAATTCTGTGAAAGACATAATCATAAATTTATCATGTTAATCATATTTTACGTTAAGTTATTGAGAAGTTTCGAAAATAAACATAATATTTTTGGATTTAGATAAACAATTAGCAGCATGCATGTTTATCTAAAAAATATTGTTCAGTAGACTTAGATACTCTACTGTAGGTTTGCAAGAAGTTTCATAAAAATAAAATTATATAAACTTAATCGAACATATAGTAGAATTGCGATTATCAATTTTAAAAAGAAATGCAATATGTAGTTCTTAGTATATTCTTTAAGTTACGCTTTTGACATGTTCCCTCACCTGTAAAGTCCGCAATCCGTAGTACGTTGTCAGGTGTACGCGATTCCGAAAATGTTCAATAGCCAATCGGAGTAAACGAATTCAACAGAGAATTCGAGATAATATTGGTAGTCGGTAATAAACTCAATATAACTCAACTAAAAAGCTGAGATAAACCTTTAACTGGGCTATTTAATAATAAAGACATTATCCTTTGGACTAAAACTGGCGTGTTTTTCTGTTTACAATTAGTTACATTTTAAATATAACAATGATTTTGATTGGTTCATGCAAACTTAAATAAGGCCAATCAGAGAACGCATTTCTAACCCCTTCAAACTTAGCCTATTCGGTTAAGGGTTTATGTGGAGCGGAGTGGATCAGAAACTCTTGACTTGGGAAGATGGATGAGAATTGAGAACATTGAATCAAACAACAATTTTTATAAATGTTTAATCAATGCATTTAAGACACTTGAACAAAATCAAAGCATAAAGGTATTATGTACACGAGATTTTATATATATTCTATAAAAATTCCTATTTAGTATTTGTGGTATTTAACATAAGCTGAGTGATTTAAATTGCGTACAGATGTCCATTGTAAAATTGGGACTGTAATTAAACAGACTGAGATATGACTGCATGGTTCAGTAAATCAATTGGTTATTTATAGATCAGAATATTCTACTAGAAGCATTTTTTACAACTTAACACAACGTTGTCGACGTCATGATGTAATTAATATTTTATATGTATTTCATTTTTTAAGAAAAACATTAATAATTTGTAACACTCACTTAAAGAACTTTCTTGAAAGGTGGGACGTGGAGACAGGTCCTTCAGGTGAGACCATATACACCGAGGCCCCGTGTCGCAGTAGGTGCTGGCACAATGACTCCGAGTGCCAAGTATAGGACAAAATTTGCAGCTACTAATATCCAACGGCAAGTGATGTCTCCAAATAAGGAAAAAATTCTCGAAAGAGACATTAAACAACATACAAACAAACTAACTTGCATAAACATTCCTCCATGCTTATGGCACCTGATCCCAAATCTATGTTCGAAAATCGGTATTTTTTCTGTTCTATATTTTTTTACTGGACTTTTTAGCTTGGACATATTAGTTATTATCTCCATATATTTCATAAAAATTGTACTACGAAGACAAGTTGCCCCACATCGCTCACCTGATAAACTTTGGCCATGCTGTTCTTTGAAAATTTCCCCTTTTGTAATACCAATTGTGACCAAGCCCTATCCCCAGGGGTTATGATTTCGACAATTTAGAATCTACACTACCCCAAGATTCACATAAGTTTCAGCTTTTCTGGCCCAATGGTTCTTGAGAAGAAGATTTTCAAAGATTTTTCCATATATATTTCAATGTAAAACTTGGATTCACTATTGTGGCCTCGCCCTACCCCAAGGGGCCATGATTTGGAAAATTTAGAATCTACACTGCATCAGGATGCTTCCACATAAGCTTTTCTGGCCCAGTGGTTCTTGAGAAGAAGATTTTCAAGTTTTTTTCCTATATATTTCTATGTAAAACATGGATTCCCTATTGTGGCCCACCCTACCCCCGAGGGTCATGATTTTTACAATTTAGAATCTACACTACCCCAGGATGCTTCCACATAAGTTTCAGCTTTTCTGGCCCAATGGTTCTTGAGAAGAAGATTTTTAATGACCCCACCCTATTTTTGTATTTTCTTTATTATCTTTCCTTAGAAAGGGACTTGGCCTTTGATTTTAACAATTTAAATTCCCATTCACCTAAGGATGCTTTGTACCAAGTTTGTACCAAGTTTGGCCCAGTGGTTCTTGAGAAGATGTTGAAAATGTGAAAAATTTACAGACGAACGGATGGACGGACAGACAGACAGACAACAGGTGATCACAAAAGCTCACTCGAGCTTTCAGAAATGAATTGAATGTCGTTCACATCTGACGACTTCTCTTTCCCAAAATATCTTATACACTGTATTCAAATGAACAAGTTGGTGACAAATTGACACGTCTCAAAATCTTATCTCTTCATAACAATGTTCTTATCTCTTCATAACAATGCCCTTTGTGGGTTTTCTATCGACTTTCTCCTAACTGCATACATTTATATGCGAATGAGATGATCCCTTAGGAAAAAGGCTCTGGGCTTTTAAAAAAATGGGAAATCTAATTGAGTAATACGCAAAGTGATAAAAATACAAGTCATAGACCATCATTACTAACACATCGAGATAAAATCGACTCAGACAACGAGGAAACATGGGAATCAAATCTTGACAGCTTATACCTGAGGCACTTGACACATTTTAAAGTTTTAAGTTGTCATCTTATAGCTACTTTCAAAGACTAGTCAGTAAGGGGGCAGATAAACACTGACATGGACACTTTTATGGAAAAACTATTTTGGTAAGACCAAAGATCAATGTGAATTTCACTCCAGAAGCACAGGATACACTTTTAATTAGCCGAAGGCTCACTTGAGCTTTTCTGATCAAAATTTGTCCGTCTTCTGTCGTCGTTGTAGTCGTCGTCGTACACTTTTTACATTTTCATCTTCTTCTCAAGAACCACTGGGCCAGTTTCAACCAAACTTGCCACAAAGTATCCTTGGGTGAAGGGGATTCAAGTTTGTTCAAATGAGGGCCAAGCCCTCTTCCAAGGGGAGATAATTATGAATTAATGAAAAATTAATGTCATCATCTTTTAAAAATCTTCTCCAGAACAACCGGTCCAGGAAAGATGAAACTCATGTGGAAGCATTCTCATGTAGTGTAGATTCAATTTTGTACAAATCATGACCCCCGGGAGTAGGGCGGGGCCACAATGGCTGATCAAATTTTAACATATAGGAAAAATCTTTAAAAATCTTCTTCTCCAGAACCACTGGCCCAGGAAAGATAAAACTCATGTGAAAGCATCCTCAGGTAGTGTAATTCAATTTTGTTCAAATCATGACCCCCAGGGGTAGGACGGGGCTACAATGGCCGATCACATCTTTACATGGGAATATAAAGGAACAATCCTTAAAAATCTTCTTCTCCAGAACCACTGGACCAGGAAAAATGAAACTTATATGGAAGCATCCTCAGGTAGTGTAGATTCAATTTTGCTCAAATCATGACCCCCGGGGATAGGGCTGGGTCACAACTGACTATCAAAGATTTACATAAGAATATATAGAACAAATCTTTGAAAATTTTTCTTAAGAACCACTCAGCTGGGCCAGGAAAGATGAAACTTATGTGAAAACATCCTCATGTAGTGTACCAGTAGATTCAAGTTTGTTCAAATCATGACCCCCAGAAAAGAGGTAGGGCTGGGCTGGGCCACAATGGACAATTAAAGTTTTCCATAGCAATGAATACATTGGACATTTTTTTTTAAAACTCTTCTTTTTAAGAACCACAAAGCCATGATTGGTCATATCTTTATGTAAGGATCCTCCTTAGTTTTGATTCAAGTTTGTTCAAGTCATGAACGAGAAGTAGGGGTTGGGTACGGTGGTACACTATTGGGGATCAAAGTTTTGCCTAGAAATATCACGGAAAAGTTTTTTCCAAAGAACAGAAAAGCCATGTTTAATCATATTGATATGGAGGCTTTCTCAGGTAGTACAAAGTCATACTGGTTCACATGAGGGCTGGTAGTTTAAAATTCCGGACCTCCCCCCCCCCCCCCCCCCCCCCCCCCCCCCCCCCCCCCCCCCCCCCCCCCCCCACACACACACACCTTTGTAAACTTCTCAATACTGAAGTGATTTCTGATGTATTTCCTATTCAATGTGCTAAGGTAAGCGATGTGGTCCTTGGGCCTCTTGTTTGAATTTTGCCTAGAATGGTGATAATAGCATTCTGTCAGTCAATAAATCACAAGGGGCTCGTTTCTCAAAAAGTCGTAGATTTTGGCCTAAGTTAGTCCGACTAAGAAAGTTACGCCAAAATTTAGACGGGCCTAAATAGCGTTTCTGAAAGCGGCGTAAGACTGAGCTTAACTAACAGAGGAGTGGTGTCATAACAGTATTATAGTTTGGTTCACGTCAAATCATGGCTGACGCAAAATTATCCCGGAATCTTCCCTTCCGATTCGGGCATTTCGATACGAGATTGGAGCTGATTTTTTTTATGAGATCAAAAACAACATGTAAACTTCCTGTATTGACCAGATTTATTCAAATTTAGGGCGTGCTGATTTTTTTACATAGTGTCAAGAGTGGGGAGAGATTAGGCCCTGGACTAGATTATCAAGCACCTGCTCGACTTCGACCGAAACAAACTTGCGTTTCTTGCTGGATGGCTATGTATTTTTTGGTACTAAAATCTTTATAAAGAATGGTTTTACAAGATTTCTCAGAAGTTTGTTTTGAATTAGTTACATCTACTCAAACTTGCGCATTTTTGGTAAGAATATATAGCAGAAATTAATACTGTTGTGACACCTGCAGTAAAACCGAATTTTGTACTTAGAAATATTGTAATCTTAGAATTAAGGTTTTATTTTGTGGGTTTAGACGGAAAATG